ACGACCTGACGCAGATGGGCTGCGGTTTTTCGCGCGACGATGCCGGCTCGTTCCTGCGCCAGTACTGCGAATTGGGCATCTACAGCCAGGATCCGTTCCAATCTCTCGACCAGGAGGGCGTTGGCGAGCTCATGCGCATGGCCGTGACGAAGGGCCGTCGGGTTAAGCCAATGCTGAAGTTGGGCATCTGCGGTGAGCACGGTGGTGACCCGGCAACGATCGAGTTCTGCCACAGGATTGGCCTGAACTATGTGTCGTGCTCGCCGTTCCGTGTGCCGGTCGCCACTGTGGCCGCTGCTCATGCTGCACTGAAGGAAAAGAAGCGCATGGAGCAAGAGTACAAGAAGATTGCCGCCAAGCTGTAGGAAGAGAATTTTTATATGGTTATTACTTTTTTTTGTATTAAGAAATAAGACTAATTCAAGACGTTTTTTTTTCTTTTGGTATGCAGGAGCAATGGCTGTTGTTGTGGTTAGGGGAACTATTTTGTTTGTGTGTGTTTGTTGGTGGTAGGGTTTTTGTGTTCATTGGGAGTTTTGAGGGTAATTTGAAAAATACAAAAAAAGAGCACGATAAAATCAATAATTAATTTTGATGGTGAACAACGAGAAGTTTTTTCCTCTTATTTTTTTTTTAATGGTTGTTGGTGGCAACTGTTTGTGTGCTTACTTTTTTGTTAGCTTTTTTATTTATTTATTTATGTACGTGGGCTCGTTTCATTTTTGTTAAGTGGCCTGTTATGTGCCTGTGGCACCGCTGTAGTCGTTAGCACATAAGAGCGAATTTAACAGGGGCTCCATGTTAAGTGCATAGAAATTTGTGTGGTTTATTGTGGTTTTTTTTGTCTGTGGGACCGTTTTTTTTTATTTTATTTTTTAGCCGTCATGTGACTCGTTTTTGTTTTTGCTTTTGGTTTTATGCACCTCTCGCGTTTTCGTGTCACTGGACTATTCGTGCGAGGCCGTTGGCTTTACTTCATGTCGTGGTGCCTGGCAACAATGGTGCCGGTGCTGGAGTTTCCTTTCTCCGTGCGTGCTTCCGTGTTCCTTTGAGGGGCACAGGTGTGGCGCGAAGCGCGGTGGAGAGTGAGGGGGAGAAATGCACGCCGCGGCAGGCTGGGCAGCGTTGGGTGGGGGAGAAGCGAGTGACGGACAACAGCAAAAACAAACGGATTGTAGAAATTCGCTGGAGTTATTATGCCGAGGTTTTCAAAAAAAAAAATTTTTTTTACCCCTCCCTTTTTGTCGTTCACTGCTGTTATTCGTAGGAAGTGGGGAGCCGGGGAGGCGCGTCTCTGTTTGTCGAGGGACTCCGTAAGGAGCTTCGCGGGGAGTTTATTTGTGTTTTGTGTCACTGTCTTTTCTCCCTGTTTTTGTAAATATTATTTTGTGTCTTTACCCGAGGGAGAAGGAGCTGCTTTTTAAGTTATATATAATACTTAGTTGTAGGTTGCTTACCGGCGTCACTGTTGGCGCAACGAGCGAGGAGGAGTTTGGCCAGGTTTGCTGAGGCGTCTGTTGTCTGTGGGGCGGCGAGGCCTTTGAGATGCGCAGTTTGTTGGATGGGATTACCTCCGCACTGCGCGTGCCGCAGATGCCGCAGAGGGAGGCGGACGAGCAGCAGCAGCCGCCGGGATCCCCGGGAGTCAGGAGGGCTACCGCCGCCGCTGCCGCCCCCTCGCCGCGTCAGAAGGGCTCCACCGGCGCAAAGGCCACAGGTTTTCCGGCGGGGGCGTTGCGGTACCAAAGCGGCAGCATCTCGTGTGCTTTCGCGGCGGAGAAGTCACCGGACTTGCCCTTCACAATGCTTCTCCTGACGCAGAACGTTGGGGGTCTGTGGTCCTCCTCTGACGGCACGAGCGGCGAAGGCGTGGAGGTGGCTGACGGTGCCCCGGCGCCGGCACCCAAAACAGGCGTGTCTGACTCTGTGCGGAGGCGGGTAGCGGAATTCTTGCAGGAGCTTCGTCTTTTGATTTATGAGGCGAGTCGTCGCGAATTTGCCTCACATCTTCGTAGGGACAAGGTGGCGAGCGAGGGCAGTGGGCCGCCATCAACGTCGGCTGACGGTTCCCACAGCGAAGTGCCGCCGCTGCTTGACGTCATTGTTGTGCACTTCCAGGAGATTGGCGGGAAGGAGGCAGGTGCGGAGTCGAACGCCCTCTTCGCGGAGGCTCTCAGGATGCTGCTTCCGGAGGCGGCGTGGTCGTCGGGTCTTCTTATGGAGGCCAACAACGACGCGCAGCGATTTACGGCGCTGGGCACGATTGTCTTCCTGGCTCACCGCATGTGCCCGATTAGCAGCATACTTTCCTTACGACACCGCACCTTTGTTGCCGTTGCCGATGATCCTGCGACGTACTGCAGTTCACCGACGTTTCTCTTTCACGGTGGTAAATTCTCGGGGGCCGCGTCGGCGCGCAAAGGGTATCTACTGACGTCGCTGCGCTTTGGCACTGTGGTGGTGAACTTCCTCAATCTCCACTTGTACCACGACGACCGAAACACGGAGGCGGCGGCGGCGAGCCCAAGCGTGTATGCGGCGCGGCGGCAAGAGGCGCTTCTCGAGGCGGTGGCTGAATGCATGGTTTTTGTTGCCCCGCAGGATCCCCTCTTTATCTTCGGCGACTTCAACACTCGCCTGGACACCCACAGCTTTCTGAAGCACCTTAAAGAGACCCGGCAGATGGAGGTGCAGCTCTCGGCAAAGGATGTGCAGGCACCGGATTGTTTTTGGGAGCTCTTCACCGAGTCCCAGCAGGCAGGGGCGATGAAGAAGTTTGACGTGGAGCTGCAGCGCTTGATGGATGTGGTGGCGCAACAGAGCGGGGTGGAGCTGGCAGAGTTTGCCATACGCTTTCCCCCAACCTACTCGCGACTTGCCGTGGGGGAGTCCATGCGAAGTCGTCCGAAGCCAAAGGGAGATGTGGAAGGTGGCGAAGGCGATGGTGGAAGCGACGACGACGACGACGACGACGACGGCGGCGGCGAGCTAAAGAAGGGGAGCGAGCGGGGGCGAAAGGCGCCGAGAAGAGAGACGGGCCCTGGCGAGGGCGCAGTGGCCCTCGTGCTCTCCCGCATCACGGCGATGCCCACGCGCGGCTACAGCCGTCAACGTGTTCCTGCCTGGTGTGATCGTGTCGTGTGGAACCCCGCCGGGCTGGAGCTCATGACGGGGCAGCGCTCCGCGTCCTCCCCTGCGTCTTTGCCGTCCGCCTCCTCCAAGAGTGACGGGCCCCAGGATTCCTCCTCTCGCTACGCTTATCGCTCCTTCGCTCTTGCTCACACTGACCACGACTGCGTCGCGCTGCTGTTTTGAATGGCCTCCTCGCGGTTGCGATGCTGCCGTGTGACGGAGAAAGGAGAGAGGCGACGGACGGGGACGCAGGCGGAGCGGCGGCTCGAAGGCAACGAGGGGGGGGGGGGAGTGTGAGTGGCGTCGTTTTTTTTGTGTGTGCGCTTTTTTTTTACGCCTCCTTTTTTGCACCGTCGCTGTGCTCCGCACTGGATCAGCGGCGTGGCATTAACTCAGCCCGTGGGCGTGATTCGTTCTCGGGCATATACATAAAGTCGTGGTTGGTCCACACACACACACACACACGCAAACACAAGCAAGTTAAAACACCTGAATTTCTCCCAATGCCTTTCTCCATGCATTTCTTTTCAGGGCGGTGCTGTTTTCGTGTTTTCGCTTGTGCTGCCCCCCATTGCCCTGCTGCGCCTTCACTCCCGTCCTGCGGTCACGTTAGGGAGCGTAGAAGACCGCAGAAGGATAGAGTGGCCACCGCAGCGCACACATACCTGGCAGAAGACCTTTGCAACTAGAGAGGCGATTGAAGTATTGGCGCCGTTGCTTGGAAAAGTGGCTTCCCCAGCCTCCCGAGACGGGTTTTTTTTTTTTGTCATCTCCGCGTACTCCCCAACTGTGTTCTTTCGTCATCCCGCTGACAGCGTGCCTGTTATGCAGCGACATAGACAAACACACACACACAGTGGGATCAACTAATAAAGAGAAGCAAAAGGTGTTTTGCACCAAAAAATTAAACTTTTTTTTTTGCATTTTTTTTGTACTCAGTTTGTATTTTCCACACTCGTCCTCGCACGGCTGTGGTGGGAAAGCTGGGGATGCACGCGCGTGGTAGTGATGACCCTGACCGCGTTCCAGACGAATGCGGCGCGGGCGTGCCAGGTGTCTCTGCTGAGGGCAACGATCACCGTGATCAAGCCGTGCATGTGGGCCCGGCGTCGGCGCATTTTACGGGCCTCTTCCCTACGAGGACGTGGAGAGCTGAAGCAACCACTTGGGCCGCGGACGCTAGCTCCTGGTGGAGACTCTTTGGTCTTCCAATTGTCTCTCGCACCCTCTCCGGCGCGGCATCATGCTACGGAATGTCGCGGGGCCCCAGTGTGCGGCGTGTGGCCGAATCCCACGCGGCTCTTGTTACCGGCTTCGTCCACCGCAACTTCTCCCCTTCGCTGACCGCCGGCGTGCGTGAGTTGGCGGTGAGGGAGCCGGCTTTGTGCGACGTCACTGTTTTGGGCGATGGCGTTGAGGCGGAACACCGGAGGCAGCGCGCCGCCGCGCACGCAGAGGAGCAGCTCGAGCCGACGGTGCCTCTTCACGGCGGGCAGTGCACCCCACCCGGGGCCAAGGTGGCGTCTGCACCCTCACGCCCATCCCCGTCAGCCGCCTCGGAGGCGGCGCAGTCGGCTTTGCAGACTGAACCTGTCAAGCCAAGTTCAACCCAAAGTACGGAGCACGATGCCCCTAAATTTTCTGTCAGTGACTCCCGTGAGGAAAATGTTTCGTGCCTGCAGGATGTTCTACAGGAAGCTGCCTTGGCGATGTCTTCGCTTTCGGCCGAAGAGGTGCTGCTGCCGCAGCGAATAGCCTCACTATTTGCAGCGGAGGCGGCGCAGAGGGTAACCGTCGCACGACGCCGAAAACGTGGCATTTTTGGACTTTTTGGCAACATAGACCAAGGATACTTTGAGGCGTTCGCACGCGTGTTTAGGCGAAATCAAGGACTCTTGGAAGAGTTTCTTGAGCGTGTGCTGCAGTCCACTCCGGACCGCTACGCCGCGAAGCTTGGTGTCATGGATATCCTGCGACTGGAGTGCGGGACGCTAGACGATCAATTTTTTATAGATCCGCTCGTCGCGTGGCCTATGCAGTTGCTGTATGAGGTGTCATGCTTCTACGTCACGGCGAGGCGGCATGGGTACCATAACACCTTTGAAGCCATGCGCCGCCAGGGCGGCGTGTTTGCCAGCGGCAAGGGTCTTTTTGCGGCGCTGGCGGTTGCAATGTCACCGACGGCGGAGGAACTGGTGCAGCATACCGCGCAAATGTTCCAGGCAGCTTGTATTGTTGGCTTGGTGTACAGTAAATTAGAGATGCAGCTTAAAGTGCAGGTTCAAAAGTGCGGACAGCGCCGCTTCTCACTGCTTCTGGTGAACATTTCAACAATATCTCTGCAGCTGCTTCTTGACGAGGTGAATAAAGTAGACTTTGGCTCAAGCAGCGGGGGTGGGGGTGGTGGGAATGCCACGCCCCATTGTATTCCCATGTCAAGACTGGAGATGACGCGTGTTATTAGCTCCCACTCTGCTATTGTGTGCGGTCACCCATTGGATTTGGAACGCTTGAGCACCCTTCTTTTTTGCTACGCTGACGCCACCGGGCTGCGGGTCCACGTCGAGTACCTGCGCACCACAGTCCCGGAGAATAGCCCCTTCTACAACCAGTGGCAACATCTAGAGCTGTTGCACCTGTGGAAGGACAGTGCTGTGGAGTTGGATGCCGCCAGACTTCAACTGACCCTCTATTCTCCTGTGGATGGGCAGCCGTGGAATAGATTTTCTACGTGTGCTCTTGCCGACCGTGTCGCGATGGCGGTGACATATGCGTTGCAGGATTTAACATGTTCACTTCGGCACATGCGTTGCGGCGACGTCCTACTCGATTTCTCGGCGTCTGCTCTATGCATGAGTCACCTCATTGCCTGCACTCGGGGGAATATTACGATGTTGTCTCAACCCGCCGACTGTGTCAGCAGGTGTGCACTCACTTCCCCGCGCAGAAGTCCTGATGACGGCGTTCTCCGCTCCACCCTCGCAAGTTGCGCGCGGATCAACACGATTCTGCAGAGCATGCAGTGGGAGGGAAAACCGCGCCAAGCCTGCGTCTTGAGCCTGACCATGAGCTTCGCTGACCTTGGCCTATTGGTAAGTGCCGAGGCGTTTTCGACGGCGTCCTCCGTCCCCCACTGGAAGGGACGCAAGGGGGAGAGTAAATTCCCCCGCACTTTCGCCACACGGAGCCCTCGCAGTGGAGTGTTGGCTGATTTTATACTTAGCCTTTGCGATGACGCGGCGGTGAGCGCAGAAAATGACGCGTGGGCTTCTGCGATTGGTGCCCCGAGTGCGGCTGCTGCGGCTATGCCTATTCACTACCTTGCCCTGCCCAACGAGAACTTTTCTGTTGCCATGGACATTTATCACGACTCACCCGTGGTTCGGTACTACGAAATGCAGTGCAACTGCTTCTTAACGCGGGGCGCAGTGGAGTTCACACGGCGGTTGTCGCTCTGCACGGGGATTGCGTTTCCGCCCCACACGCTGCTGATGTGCCCCACTGTGCTGTCCCTTATGGAGCTGCTGGACACCTACGAATTTTTGGGTCGCAGGGCACCTGACGAGGACTAGCGGTGGAGGTACACCCTCACTTCCCGTTTTTTTTTGCACGGTTTGGGGGCCTACGACCCCCACACATCCCTCCAGCTCGGAACAACGCCCCTGAGTGCGAGGAGGGAAGGAGACGAAAGAGAACATCTACCGCCGCGTGAGGGAGGGAGGTTTGCGCTTCCGCCGTCCTCCACGCCGCTCTTGCCCGCCGCCATCCACGCCGCCTGGCTGCTGGCCGCGCCTGCTGTTATTCTTTCTACCTTGTTTGCTATGCCTTTCTCCGGTTCTTCCTCTTCCT